CTGAGCTCTTCATCGGTATGTTGACGTTCTGTCTGTGTGTCCATCTGTCGGGTGCAGAGCAGACGCAGCTCCACTTTCTGAGGAGGCCACACTGAAGCTTGGCTCGCTCAGCAAGGATCTGACATTATCCAACCGTTTCATGGGATTTCTAAATATTCAAACAATAGTCAAGTCTGCAGAGACGCATGAATAAAGCCGACAACAGGCTTTTGTTTTGGGGCGAGCAAGGCCAAAGAGAAGGGGTTTGGGTTCGGTATTTTTCACAAAGAATGAACAGTTCAGTAAAATAAAATAGCATAACGGATTATTTTCATATATGCAGATGACAGCTATTTCTATGTCAAGGTTGTTGTTTTTCTAATAGCTAAAAGAATACAAAACAGTAGCTGTGGATGAAAAATAGATAGATGAATTATTATTGTTATTTAATATGACAAGATAGTAGTGTTATAATGTGTATTTTCAGCTACAAATTATAATCACAACCTGCTGTTACCAACCCAGTGTGAAGTCCTGTAAACACTGTAAATGGCGTGTTGACAGCATTGTACGACATCATGTCAGTCAACTCTGACAATAAGAAAACAGCAGGGTTCAGAAATGTTCTTCACTCATCAACAGCACACCACAACCGAACTGACAGCACAGAGTCAATACTAATAATATCACGCTTTTAAAGAGCTATTGGTAGAAGGCTGCATTTGAATTTTAGTATTTTGTTATTGCAAGAGAGACAAAATAATATAGGAAACCATCTGGAAAGGAAAGGAAAGGAAACATTGATATTGTACATGACAGGAACCACAAGAGGAGAGATGGGGCAACAAGCATTATTATTAGAGAGACAGATAATATTCATCTTCAGGTTCATATCAGTAGTGTCTCTACTTTAAAGAGTCCTCTCCTGCTGATGTTCAGGTGTAAATCAGTATGTAGTGTCTCTACTTTAAAGAGTCCTCTCCTGCTGATGTTCAGGTGTATATCAGTATGTAGTGTCTCTACTTTAAAGAGTCCTCTCCTGCTGATGTTCAGGTGTATATCAGTATGTAGTGTCTCTACTTTAAAGAGTCCTCTCCTGCTGATGTTCAGGTGTATATCAGTATGTAGTGTCTCTACTTTAAAGAGTCCTCTCCTGCTGATGTTCAGGTGTATATCAGTATTAAGTGTCTCTACTTTAAAGAGTCCTCTCCTGCTGATGTTCAGGTGTATATCAGTATGTAGTGTCTCTACTTTAAAGAGTCCTCTCCTGCTGATGTTCAGGTGTATATCAGTATGTATTGTCTCTACTTTAAAGAGTCCTCTCCTGCTGATGTTCAGGTGTATATCAGTATGTAGTGTCTCTACTTTAAAGAGTCCTCTCCTGCTGATGTTCAGGTGTATATCAGTATGTAGTGTCTCTACTTTAAAGAGTCCTCTCCTGCTGATGTTCAGGTGTATATCAGTATGTAGTGTCTCTACTTTAAAGAGTCCTCTCCTGCTGATGTTCAGGTGTATATCAGTATGTAGTGTCTCTACTTTAAAGAGTCCTCTCCTGCTGATGTTCAGGTGTATATCAGTATGTAGTGTCTCTACTTTAAAGAGTCCTCTCCTGCTGATGTTCAGGTGTATATCAGTATGTAGTGTCTCTACTTTAAAGAGTCCTCTCCTGCTGATGTTCAGGTGTATATCAGTATGTAGTGTCTCTACTGGGACATGTCTCCATGCTATAATGTTCAAAAAGCTCTTTATTTTTCTCATACTGCCTGTGCTGCAGCACCTCTTTTCACCCTCTGTCTGAAACCAGAGCCCAGTCTGCTCTGATTGGTTAGCTGGCCGGCTCTGTTGTGATTTGTCAACCGCTTAGAGATGTCCCGCTCCTTAGGACACAGGGACCATTTACATACACAAAAACCTATATAACACTTTAATGAGAACATACAGGTATTTTAAGTCCAACGCATTACATCTGATGCTGGATTTAGTTTTGTTGAGCCAAATTAAGACTGGTTCTAATTCACCATGAGCACACGGATAGACAGTCTGGCCTCTCTTCAGGGTTCCTTGTGGGATAAAAGGACCTTCATGGCACCAGCCCTGCTTGAACGACCACTTCAAGGTTATGGTGCTTCCATGATGCTTTAATGAGCCACACAGAACCATCAGGGCTCACTAAACATCTGGTGGCTCCCTGTTGGACTTAAGGTCTCTGTAGGACTGCTTGATTTAAATCCAAATGCTTATCATCCTGTCACATCAGAACAAAAACTACACTTAGTTGGGAGAAACATATACTGAGAAAATGTAAGTTTTATTTAATTTTCATAACTTTCCGTAACAAAATGAAATGAAATCCTTGTGACGATCTGCTAGTGTTTCGGGTTTTATTTTGAAATGTGGACACTCCCTGTCTTAAGTCTGTTTGTACTTCCTGTCTCTTTGTTTTCCCGCCTGTTTGATTATGCTATAGGATCTTATCTTCCCTATCAATTGCCTTTTCCCAATATAAACAATGGATAACATCTCCCAGTACCAGCTTTTATTATTTCATAACTGCAGGAATATCTGTATTGTTAACGACAGAGAAACTTATATAACTGAATTGACAGCTACAAAACATTTACACAATCTGCTGTAAATGACGTGTTGACAGCATTGTACGACATTATGTCAGTCAACACTGACAATGGGAAAACAGCAGGGTTCAGAAATGTCCTTCACTCATCAACAGCAGGCATAATAGTGACAATATCACCCTTTAAAAAATGCTAGTGTTGGTAGAAGACTGTATTTAAATTTCACACAAGAGGAAAAGGAAAACCCCATAAAGTATAATACGGACCCCGATTTTATTAAACATTGACTTATGGTGCTTCATTGGTTGATTTTTAATCATGCCGAAGAACAAGAATTCTGACTATACATTCATATAATGACATTTCATTTGATTTAATTGTGCATTTGTTTGTGCTGTCCTACGACCGCATCAACCTGACACTCTGCAGGTGAAATAGAAAGTGTGTCAGCTGACTGCAGCGTCTCCTCTGTGACCTCCTGCTGCAGATTCTCCTCCACTGCAGCTGCTCAGATGTGACAGTTTGAATATCTGAGTTTTTCCAGAATATTTTGTTACTTATTTAGGGCTGACAGCCAGGTCACGAGATACAGTACATCCAACACATGAATTATGCAAACAGGATCAGTTTGTTCTACCATTGCACCACAGTTCAACATATTTTAAGGGAGTACAACATGGCATACATTAAAAATACATCCTTCCCAAATCTCACAGTCCACTAACGATGATCAGACTCAAAAGGTCCACTCAGATTTTTATTTTTTAAACATCTTCAGTAAAGATTTGTCTGTAAAATGCAGTCCAGTCCATTCAAAACGTGTAAAAAAACAAACAAGGTCAATTTAAACTTACCTTAATAGTTAACATCTCCTAAAGTTTCATAAGACATCATGTGACTTTGGTTCTTTGCAACTTGAAATCATGTTTATTTTAAGGTACAGTTACATAAAAATGACTGGTTTTCAGAGTCAAAAGTCCACATACTTCTTTCCTCCGCTGCTTATCTGTGCTCTATAACCTCCATCTAGTTTCTCTTGCAGAGTTTGCCCTTGCGTCACTCCTCAGCTCTGTGTCCATGGGCAGATATTTCATTGACAGCAATATGAGGTTCTATGGATGACCGCTGGGTCTCTGAGCTGCCGAACACCCGTCTCCTCACTCTGCTGGAGGAAGAGCCGCTTCTCTCACCTGTCTCTCCCTTTTCTATGTGTCCGCCTCCACACACGGCCATGTTTACATGTGTTATTGTCTCGCTGTAGCTCAGGCTTGCCTTGAACCAGACCCAAAATATGCTGCAATAGAGTGAAGCAGGTATAAAACTGTTTTTCGACAAAAAGCAATGGGATTTTTCTCTTGGATTTTGGACGATTGCAGGGGAATTTGTAGGAAACACACGTATGATATTTAGAGGTTATTCCAGCAGGATAATCTCAACATATTAACATCACTTTATGATTTGAAGTAAGTAAAAAGCTAATGTTGGGCTATAAAGGAACTACAGCACGGTCACATGACTGCAAGTCACCACCGCTAAGCTAAAGGAAGCTAATGTTGGGCGTGATGATGTTTAGTCGTCTCATTTAGACACTTAGCAACCATTTTTGTGTGCTATCTTCTAAGTTTGTGTTAACCACAAACCTTATTTCAGGCACCTTACAATTAAAAAAACATTGAGTACGAGAAGAAGGAAAGAGAAGCTTACTAAAATGCTAACACATTTCTGAGTTGAAGGACTCGTTCCTGCACCACTTTTAAGGTTTTAACCTTCAGGAGACTGTCCCCTTTCACCTTCAATCTGTTACCACTCTACTCCTACTTCTATTTCTCTATATCTGTATTCACTCTCCTATAAATGCATGATAACTGAGCATCCTTGGCAGCATCCCCCGATTGTTGTGTGTCTCTCACCTGGCAGGAAGCTAGTTTTGAAGGTTACTTCTGGATCATGAGTCATTATTGAGCCACTTTTTTGTCGGCAACTGGAAGATTGTTGATATCCTCCTGGATCCATCTTTTTCATGTGCAGTCATAATTTCCCTTTTGTGTTTTGTTTGTCTGAATGTATCATCTTTTATAATCTATACACACAACATATATTGCTCTTCTGGGATCCTTCCTGTTGCTCTCTCCGAGGTTTCTTCCAGTTTTCGGGTTTTTCTGTCGATCTGTTTGTGTTTTCCCTTGTTTATTTTGTAATGTCACAATCTGTCTGTTTTCCTGTTTTATTTTGGAAAATGTGTTTTTCTTCTCTCTCCACCTGTGTCTTGTCCTTGTGATTAAGTCTTGCAGTCAGTTAGTCTCAACCCTTGGCACTTTGGGAGTCATTCCTTGTGCACTGTGAGGGTCTAAGGACAGAGGGAGACACTGTAAAGCCCCCTAGACAGATGAGTAATTGCTCGGCAATAAAAATGCAATTTGATTGATTGTTGTGTTATTTTCATGGCAGGTTTGGCAAAGCCCATGGGTCTGGTTGAAGGTCCCGGAGGTCTCGGTCAGGGCGGGGCTGCTGCCACTCTGGGAGAAGACAGTCTCGATGTGGAGGGGAAATACGAGGAGTACGGATACAACGCTCAGCTCAGCGACCCGCATCTCCCTGGACCGGAGCATCCCCGACTACAGGCCCAAGAAGTAAGTCTCCTTACTCTCTGTCTCTGTTAGGGAATCATTTGCTTAGGTATTCAACCTCTGACACAGTTCATCGTTTTCTCATCTCACTGTCTCCTTTCCCATGGCATAGGTCTACGCCCTTGGGTATTGCTGCTATCTCTCTTAAGGAGGGGCAGCTTGGGCGCATTGTTGATGCCAGCTTATGACCGAGCACAAGCTGGCATTAGATGTTTATTGTTCAGGGACATCTGGATGCCCTTCTTTTCTGTTAGGTTCCCTGCCGCACATTCTTTTCTATGGACGACAGCTCTAGTTAGATTCAGGGTCCATATTTCTTTAGTCTCGCTGATGAGGAATGTTGATTATTACACTCCGAACTAGTTAAAACCTCGAACTACAGAAGAGTTCTTCAGAATTGCTTTAGCATCCTCTGTATCACCTCGTGGCTCAGCACATGTCTTGTGAATTATCCGGCCGAAGCTCCAAATAAACCATAATTTGTTTGCCATCAAAGTTCCTGTCTCTCTGAGTCCTGTCTCCATTGCTTCAGAAGTTTCCATCACAGTTTCGTACTTTCTCCTTCCTGCTCCAGCCTTAAACCTGTTTCCCCCCGGCAGCGCTGTGTAATGTCAGAGAGACTTGTAACTGGAAGGTTTGCCGGTTGAATCCCTGCTGAGGTTGATGGATTTTTGTGACGGCACAAAGTGTACAGCAGGACGCTTTGTCCGGAAGATGGCATTTTCATCAAGTGCTTTTCTACTTCTTGTTCTTCTTTCTTTTTCTTGTTCTTCTATTATTCTTGTTATTGCTCTCCTTCTTCTTCTTCTCCTTCTTCTTTTGTCCTCCTTATGTTGTGTCTCTCTTTCGGTGAATCCCTAGGAAATGTACCGTACTAAAATAGAGAGCTGCAGTACAGGGCTTGTCAGAAATAATAATGTGTGAAGGTAAATTGTGGTGTTGAGGATTATTGAAATTGACACAAACATCCAGCAGGCTGAGTCCAGGTCAGAAGTGCATGGCACACTCATGCTGCTTTTATGCTTTCACTAAGTAAGGCAATCTGAAAAGCCTATTTTTCTACAGTTCACCACCTGGGTTTAATTTCCATTAGGATACATGTGAGCACATCTGATATCTTCTTTCTAAATACGGTGTTATAATAGCACCCAACTCAGCTTTTTACTTTAGGTATAATTCAAGGTGCTTCCTAATGCTTTCATTTTTATTCAAGACCACTAAAACACCTTTGCTGATGGGATTTATGGAATGTCCCATGGATCAAAAAAACTGCCTCTCATTTGTTTCCAGAGAAAATGCAAATGTCACCCTTGTAAATGTAATGGCTTCCAGCAGGGGACATTCCTGTACACCTGATGGTTATATGACGTTCATTTTGTGCTGGCCTCCCCTAGTTTCCCAGTGGCACGTTGTACATTTGCACAAACTCAAAATGACACGCGTCACAGCGCAGATTTAATTTGTTTTGTGCTAAAAACACAATTAAAACAACCTCACTTCTGTCATGTTGGCATTTCTTTCACAATGGTCCCATTAATGTTAGCAGGTAACGTCAGCGTTTTTTCCACGCTGATGCACCGTGGAGAAATTGTTTATGATACCCTGCAGAGTTTATTTAGCAGCGTATGTGCTCCAGCGTCCCTGATGACATGATCATATACAGTATATTAAATATGCAACGCTGCCAACTTTTCCTCCACTTCCCAGACATATTTCTCCTCCTCTGTGTCTCCTCATTAGGGAGATTCAAAGGAATGCTACGACCTGCATCGAGTGGGTCAGATAGCAAGCTAATCTGTTGGCATGTTCTCCAAAGGCTGACAATACAAGAGAAAGCAAGGTTTTCTTTTTGCTACAAAGGCATTGGGACTTTACCAATTTCAATATCTGATATGTTTCCTTTTGAACGTTTTGAACGAAGCTGCGTTACGTACACACACTTTAAAGAATTGGAGGGGGGAATACTGTGACAAATAAAACTTAAACACCCTTGAACATAAGATCAATCACTATTGTGCTACCTTCATTCGACGAGAGATGTCTAACAGCCAACACGTACAATATTTCAAATGATTACGCTAGAAGAAGAAGGAAGGAAAGGGGCGTCAGGTTGATTATAGCTCTATAGATTGGTGCAGGAATGAGTCCTTAAACCTAGAATGTTGTGTTAGCATTTTACTACATCCGGTTACTTTGTTTGAAAGTCAATAGGTTTTCTGAATGAGTTTTTTGGGTAGATAATAAGGTCTGTAGTTGTAGATTTTTCACATTAAGTTTTTACGACATCAAATACGTCAGTAAATACCTTATTGGTACATTTAAAAACAGCGGTTGCTAACAAGTGTCTAAATGAAACCACTAAACATCATCACACCGCAAAAAACGCTAGCCTCCTTTAGCTTAGCTGTGTTGATGCAAGGTCATGTGACCGTGCTGTAGTTCCTTTATCGTCTAAACGTTAGCTCTTCGAGAGATGTATGTTGATTTACACTTCAGAAATCATAAAAGTGGGGTCTTGCTGAACCATAACGGTTAAATAAGTATCATTAAAGGTGGGGTAGGTAAGTTTGAGAAACCGGCTCGAGATACACTTTTTGTTATATTCCATGGAATGCTCTTAACATCCCGATAGCAATGAATATCTTAAATGCTTTGACAAAAATCCATAAACAAATGTCATCTGTGGAAGCCGTAGTACTGTAAAAAGCACGACCAATCATTTTAGCCGGCCCGGCTAAAATAACTGGATGGCCTACCTGCCTGTCAGCCTTCCATCTGTGCACAAACTTATCTCGTGCCCTCATTGGTCATGTGCGCGTTCGTGGAGGAGGGGCTCTGTAAGGAAGTGGCAGATTTTCTCCGGTTGTGTATTTTCAAATTCTAGCGATCTCGAGCCGGTTTCTCAAACTTACCTACCCACCTTTAATGTCATGTTTCCTGCAATATTCCGAAATCCAATGGTTAAATCCGTTGGTGATTTGTCTTTTGGGAATAACTTCGGGGTCGGACTACAAAAAAACGTAATCGCAGCACCACTCTTTGACGTTTTTTCCAATGGTTTTTATCACTTTAAAACCTCGTATGGTTCAAGTAGAGGAGCTAACAAAGCTACCAAAAAAGTAGCCTTTACTACGTACTTTCCTTACACATCGTACCCATCTCTGGAGAATCTTACTTCCTGTTAGATACTTTCATCTTCTTCTTCGTCCTCTTAATCTTACCCTCCTCTCTTCAGTCAGTTTAGCCACAGGCAGCTCGAGGCTTCCACTGTGGGGAGTCATAGAAAAGTAAATGACTTTAGACACGCCTTTTCCCTACTTGAAAGGACACGGGGAAAGATGATAGGGATTATAGAAGAGCTATGTTATATGTTGAAATAAAAGGATCATGAATTTCTTTATTTTTCATGAAAGAGACCCAGTGGACCCCCTGAAAGCACACCATAATGGTTCTTTTCAATACATTTAGAAACTACGGCTGTGATACAGTGAGTGATGCAGGAGATGGATTGGAGAGTGGGAGTATGAGGGGGGGGGATGTAATCAGGGCTGCCAGTGGCGTTCATATCACACAGTGTCAAAGAACAATGGCGACAGGCAGACACACTGAGAGAAAATCTGACGGCCATGAGAGGTTTCTGAGGGCTTTAGCGGGGATAACAATTCATTTCATCCGCGTTGCTTTGTTCCCAGCTCTTTTCACGGCCAGAGAAATTAGACAAGAGTGGAACAGGGAGGAGGAGGAGGGCGAGTAAAAAGGAGCTCGCTAATTAATAAAGTCAGCTGAGAGCGCCTCTGGAATGGAGGGGTTTGAGGAAATTCCTCTTTTTAATCAACTCGTGTATAGCAAAAAATGTCAGGAAAGACAAAAAGGAAGTGAGAGCTTGGGGGTTCGCTGAAGAGATTGTTTCCCTCCTTTAAATGGAGCTGTGTGTTTGTATATTGATTTAGTGCTAATTTCACAGTGGGTTGTGGGTACATTCTGCAGGCTTGTCACTTCTTGATCTGTGTCCCGCGTCCAGGCAGTACGCCAGCATGTGTTTCTGAAAAAAATGTGTACCCATACACACAGGCACGTAGTCACCGAACAAAAGATTTCGTGTCAAACGAGGTAAAGCTTCAGCCGATGACAGATAATCAATAGAAACATTTGTGATAAAGACATTCATTTGTTGTGAGGCCTCAATGGAAATCAATACAATACAATGTGGCAATCATAGTTGTCTTCGCTTTTCTGGTACCGGCCACTGAGGCAAGCACTTTATTAACAAGAAACATCAAAGCATGCAACTGAAAGAAAATGGATGTATGTACACCAGAACAATGTTGTTTACCTGCTTTGTTCTGGCACTAGTTAGGACTTAAGTTCACGATTAGTTCAGTTTAAAGGAGCTCTATTATGTTCTTTGGGTTTTTCCCTTTCCTGGAGTGTGTGTTATTTATGTTGTGTGCATGTAAATGGTCTGCATAGGCTTACATCTCAAAGTTTCCTCCAGAGGGAGTTCTCTCACACACACTGTTGATGCAAATGTTCGTAGTGGCCAACGATGGTACCACATCTTCCCTGTCAGTCTGTGACATCATTTGGGCCCAAAAACACCTTTTCCCGTTGACTACATTGTGAAACAGACTTCTGTAAATCAGAGGGTACTTCTTTTTTTGTTCGATATTCAACTGCCCAGTATGAACACTTTTCACAGCGTCTAAAAGTTGTAAGATACGCTAAAAGCCAAATCCAGAGTTATTTTACCTCTGACTGAGCTGTGATCAACCGTGACGCTGCAGATAGGAGGCGGGGCTTAAGCAAGTGCGCACTCTCTATTGGTCGAGATACCATAATTTGGCTCTCGAGAGGCAGGACATTTCGCCATCCCACCTCTAACGCTGTAATCCGTTCTCTTTATAGATCCATGCATGAAACACTTCCATTGAACTCCTTTGTTAACTTCCACAACTAATGACATCACTATGTAACAGTTGCGCTCTTTTGGCAAGCGCTCCAAC